TAATATTACCATTTAACATTTAATCAAAGAAATTCACATAAAATTTTGCGAAGAAATAAATGCTATTTGTGAAAACAGTTCCATTTGAGTAATTAGTTTTTCCATTCTATTATATCGTTAAACTTATACATGATATATATATATCCAGAATATAGAAAATGAATATATATAAAAATATGTAAATATTACGAATCACAAGTTTAAAAAGGGTTACCTTACGGCATAAAAATCTAAAGCTTTGGTCCATTCTTTGTTTAATTAAACACACTTAAAGTTGTTTTAAGAGATAATGCATACAGGTACCGAAATTTTTAAATAAAATAATTATAAATAAATGATATATATATATAATACATATATGAAAGTGAAATATGACTAAAGGATTTCCATTTTTCTTACAATACTGGTAATATGGTAAAAAAAGAAATTTGGACATTGCATCTATAATGAATCGCTTTCTCCTTACTTCTTACATAGAGTTAAACTTAAGATATTGCTTTAAAAAATATTTATAGCAACAAATATTGTAGTTTATAAGTCTATAACTTTTTAAATTTTTTTTTGTTTCTTTTCTTTTTTTTTCTTTTTTTACTTTTGATACTTCCAATAAAATTATGATTTGATTTTCTTTATAATAATACACAATCATAACTTTATAATTAGAATAAGTTTGAAGAATGATCGTTTAGCACCAGGCTAATTATTTTGTTGTTGTCGTTTTATCTTTAACATTATACATGTTAGGATTTTTTCGCTAATTAATTTTTTTTTGATTAATGTGTCTTTTGTCTCGAACTTCGTTTATTGATGTAGTTCGTTGTATTATTGACAGGTGCATTATTCTCAGAGGCATCTGAAACATCTTCACTGCTATTACTTCGTATATCACCTTCCATCTGTAACATTTTTTCAATAAATACAAAATCAAGTCTTATATCATTGCCACTTATTTTAATTATCTCTGAAAATTCCAAAAATGTAAAATTAATTAATTTGAATTATATCTTATATATATGTACGTATGTTACAGTTACATTAATTCTGTAATTTAAAATAAGATTTATTGTTAACATTATTAATCACAATGCGAAGATTGTTGTAATCGTAAAATTTTATGGGATAGTTAAATTTATGGATATGTACCTGACCAGCATAGAAGGCATTGTATGCGATCTTAATAATAACATAAGTCCAAATTGAATGAAGTATAAGTAAGAGGCACAATAATGTATTAAACACATAATACGCTGGGAACATTGGTACTAGCTTAGGTGCTTCAATCAATGTACTAAAACATATTTAAATTAAGAACATATAATTTTATATTTATAACAACTACTTCACACATTGCATTATATAAAATAATTTAAAGAGAAACCATAAAAGATATCTAAAATTACCTATAAATAATCCAGAATGGAAATATACCAACGCGTGTCACAATCCATAATATTGTGAAAATAACAAATACAAAATCGCAGAATTTTTGATAATTAGCATACTTTGCCATTTTTGCGACCTACAAAAAATATAATATATTACATCCAGTAATAAATACAAAAATGACTTCACAACTAATAGTTACCTAATTAAGAGCATACATTTATGATTATATAATATACATAATACAATGTTTATTAAAGGTAACAAAGTAAAGAAGAAAAAAGAAAGAAAATAAACGATATCAGACTTACTTCTAAGAATATATCAGCAGAATCATGTACTAATAAGACTAATGAGCCAATCCTTGTTAAATTAGTGACCCATGAGAAAGACAATAATACGATGGTCACTATATGATGAATAAACATTTGCCAAAAATCTTTTCTTTTTACATCAAAGAATTGAGAAATGCTCAATGACCAGTAAAATGCCATAGATATCATATAATACCACCACACATCGTTGGACACCGAGTGATATGGATAGTTACGGTAACATTGATTAATATCCCATAACCATGGTTTATTCCATAAAATAATAAGGCCATAAAAGAATGAATACGTATAATATGAACACCTCCAACTATAATAAAAAGATATTATTAAATATTATATAAATATAAATCTTATAAATGTTATATTCTTATAAATCTATAAATATTATATAAATATAATCTCTCTCTCTGAAATTATAATTTACCTGTTTTCACAGAATTTTGTTAATGTAGATGGCTTATCTTGAGAACGTCTAAGTCTAAGCCACCTTTCTATCTGTCGTTCTGACCAATCCAGTTGTTTAGCTAATGCTAATATCTTAAAAATATCATAATTAATAAAAATATATAATTATTAATAAAAATATATACTATTTATTTAATATGTGTTTGCTAATATGCCATAAAGAAAAGATTTAAACCACAGCCCAGAATTTATTTTTTGCATTCACAAATGTGTGACGTTGGACTCTCAATGGAAATCAGTGATTTACAGATATGTGACACTGGTAGCGACTATGTTTATATCATTTTGATATACAAGATAATATCTACCTGTTTATGTTTGATTTTTCTACTAGTGTAAGCTTTCTCCAATATTTCATTTGGCGGTGCTATTTTTGTTCTTGTATTCTTTATACCAAGCGATCTGCCAAAAGGTGAGAAGCAATTCCTGCGTGCAAAAAAAATAACAAAGTATATTTATATGTACAATAAAAATAAAATAAAGAAAAAAAAAATGATTGAATCATTACCATTTTATAGAAACTAATATACAACGATAAATACAAATAAAAGCAAGTATTTGTCATAGATCATTTTGTTTGAACTATTTTATTGATAAAAATCAATAAAAATATAGATATTAATTGGAAGTCTCCTTACCTTTCAAGAGTGTATCTCATGATTAAAAGAATGAAGGCCATTGGCACGGGAAATATTAAATGTTGATAATCGGCATATTGGTTTTCCGAATTAGGTTTAATATCTTCCCATGTTATATTGGGCGGTAACCATATGTCCGGTGACCAAAACGCCGACGTTATATTTTTAAGAGTATTCATTATCAATGAATTAGTTTACAAGAATTAACTTATTTTTTAATTATCTATTTTATATATATATATATAAATTATATTATTTATAATAAAGTATTATTCAATTATTTTCTAAGTTTTTATTATTCACATAACCACACCACAGCAAATAACTTTACTTATAATACTCGACATGTATCACGCCATCCAAAGGAGTCACGAAAATATCATGAATATTCATTAAATAATCTAAACGCGTAAATGTATTTTGGATAGATAACTTCTATCGTAATTATTCTATTGAAATATTATAAATATAAAATAGAAAATAAGAATAATTTTATCCGTCGAAACTTGTTTAATATATTATCAATAAAAATATGATATATATCATATTAAATGGTTAAATCACATATTCATTTGTGAAAATAATTCGTAAAAGTTTTTGAAACGAGATTATTATAGTAACTGATAAACCGTTATTTTTATCTTTTCTTCTTCGTTTTTTTCTTTTTCCTCCTTACTTCTTTCCTTGTTTGCGAAGAAACAATATTAATGATGCATCCACAATGATGATAAATTTGTTGTCTAGTGAAATTCAATTCTATTCGATATTTAACTCTTTCTTTTATTTTTTTTTAATTAATAGAAATAAGTCATCACTTGACGTGTAGGTGATCTTTTTTATCTTCATTTATTTTAGGGTTTTTTTTTTATAGAGAGATATACACTTATGCAAAAATAGTAAACAGCGGTGTGCAATTACAAAAGGCAGTATCTCCAAGAGAAGAATAAAAAAAGATAAATAAATTGCTCTCTAAATTTAAAACAGTTGTTTACACTTATTAGAAAGAAATCTTATAATAACGAGTTGTTTTTTCGCAGTGGCGTACAACGACGGAAAAATGCGGTAACTCTGTTCGGAATACCGTATTTATTATTCCTTCTTTTGATACTAACTATTTTTTTTTCTCTCCTCTTTCTCTCTCTGTTAACTTTAAAATTAATATTTTAGTTTTACAGATAATTTTTTACACTATTATTTTCCTTTGTAACAAAATGTTAAAGCTTTTCAAGTTGTTCTCAACGATACGTGGATGTATAGTATTTTCGAATGTTAACAAAAAATCCTAGATAGCGGCTTTTTTTATTGTACTTAAAGAAAATTGAAATTCGATCCAATCTTTTATTATACATATTCTTTTTTATTACTCTAATACGACAAACAACGTTTTATTTGTTTTCATGAAAAATTAAACTATTTATATTGCTATATGAAAATTAATTTAATCGACGAGTAATTTTATTTATCATTTATTATTTGTTTGTATTTAATTGTAATAAGATAAAAAATCATTTATTATTAAACAAAAATTGTATTTTTATTTCCATAAATTCGAACCATTTTAGAACACACTTAAATCTAGTAATAATTTTACCAGTGTACAGTCTTGAATAAAAGTAATAAAATCGTAATAAAAAAGGCGATTCCATATATATCAATGTGTTTTCAGTGCTGACGTAAGAATTTTTTAAACCCGAGTATTAACGTCTAACCTCTAATTGATATGTGACAGTATGCGATTTTAAACGTTTATACTCCAAAATTATATTTTTTTACTTACTCGTTGCTATTTATATCGTTAACTAAAGAACATAATTGTTTCATTTATAGTGTCACGTAAGAGTGATTATTTTGTGCAAGTGAATTAATATCTCGATTCATTCATTGACAACGATTTATAGTTTAGAACTGGTACAGTCATTTTCAATGTGCATACATTTATGTCGTTAAAGGTATAATATACAAGTTACGAGAAACGCGCAAATGTCATTTGCACGACTCAAAATAAAAGTATTGTAGTTATGTGACCAGGCGTTATCAAACAAATTGAAAGAAATAATATTTCATATTGTATATCGACATTATCCAAATTTCAAGGTAGATTTATAATGGAAGGTCATCAGGTATATTAATAAATCAGTATTATCAAGTTAATTAAGCCATTGTCAAAAGTTCAATCAACTTGTCTTTTTTTTTATGACTCATACTTATCCATTTCTTTTTTTTCCTTTATAATGTACAATCAATTTTATTTAATTTGTATATTTATTTTTATTTTTAGGTAAGAGCTTTATATGATTTTACTGGTCAATCAGGAACAGCTGAATTGTCTATCATAGCGGGAGAGACTTTGACTGTCTTGAGAGACAATGTCGGTGACGGATGGTGTGAAGGATTCAATCAGAGTGGAAAGTCTGGCCTTTTTCCAGCAGCATATGTGCAAGTTATAGAATCATCTGCTCCAGTCTCGAGTATGATCAAATAGAGACGTAATTTATACTTAACTATTGTGAAACAATAGCTTTTAGATTTGTCATGATTTTATCTGTAGTATCTAATATTATTATTTACTAGGTAGCATGACAGTATCACAACAAAGTTCAGGAGATTTTTGGGATGATGATTGGGACGACGACTCAGAAATTGGTCAAACACTAGCATATGTTCCTGTTACAAATCCACAACAACAAGCTATACATATACCATTACAATCTAATAGCACTGATAGTGGAAATTCTATTCCAATTCATACTATACATTCTGTGATACCTGAAAGACCTATATCTAATGTACCAAAGAAAAATAATAAGTTTTCTACTATTATTAAATCCGGAGAAGACAGTTTTTTATTAGGAACAAAGGTAGTTAATGTACCAGAAAGCGAAAAGCTATTTATTAAAGAAAATGAAGATGGACGTTGTGTATGGGTACCAACGGGGGAATCATATAATTGTGTTATTACATCTCCTAAGAAAGAATCCAAATTAAAAGGTCTTAAAAGCTTTATCGTATATCAATTAACACCTACGGTATGTTCAAATTGCATGAACTTTTTTCATATTTTTCAAAATTATATTAAACATATTTTTAAAAATTATATTATTTCACTTTTTTCAAAATTCATTCAATTTTATATTTAGATTTAACACAAATCTTTTTATTACAGTTTAATAATATTCAAGTTTCAAGAAGATATAAGCATTTTGATTGGTTGCATGAACGTTTAGAACAAAAATATTGTTTCATACCAATTCCACCATTACCTGATAAACAAATAGCAGGACGTTACGAAGAACAGTTTATAGAACATCGTCGCACACAATTACAAGAATTTGTTGATTATGTTTGTCGTCATCCTGTATTGTCACGTAGTCGAGTATGGGATCACTTTATGGTTTGTACAGATGAGAAAAGGTGGAAGACAGGAAAACGGCAAGCTGAAAAGGATGAATTATTAGGAGAGAATTATTTTAATGCCATTCAATGCATTGATACACCTTTAGATGCAATCAAAGTAGAAATTCAAATAGATGCATTTAGTAGATATATAATTGGTTTAGATCCTGTCGTGAAAAATTTCATGGCCATGGCTGTAGATCAAGCTAAAAAACATCAAGTACTTTATAAAAGAGAGTTTCAGAAAATTAGTCAATCCTTTTGTTCATTAGGACACGCTTTGGAAGGAGACGACAGCGATCATAGAAGATTGACTTATGCGTTAAAGGTAACAGGCGAAGCGTACAATGATATTGGCCATCTTTACAAAGAACAGCCAAAGTTTGATTGGGAACCACTTGCTGATAAATTTCATATTTATAGAGGAATTATCAGTAATTTTCCTGATGTTATTAGTATACATAAGGTATGATTTCTCTTTAATATAATTTACATCTCTAATATTTTTAGATCAATTATTCATTGTAATCTATTTTCCTTGACATTTTACTAGAGCGCAATACAAAAAAGAAAGGATTGTGAGAAATTAGTTGCAGAACATAAAATGGAAACACAGCAATTGCGCGAAATGTCTCATCGAACGGATATAATAGCACGTACATTAATGGCAGAAGAAACACATTTTCAATCAGAACGTGATATACATATAAATCAAGCCATGAAAACGCATTTGCAAGAACAAATATCGTTTTATAAAAAAATTGTAAATAAATTAGAGGAAGCATTGAATGCATATGTAGACTGAGCGCAGGTACTGAAAATATGATTATGCTAATATTATGTACCTTTCCTATGCACAACTTAATAATTTTTATACATGATCACCACGACTGTTGTTTGTAAATTCATTGTATTCTATTATTTATACACTTACGATAATAAGAAATTTAATCACATTTTCTCTATACAATCAGAGATTTTGTTATAAAAATTATGAAGAGGCCAAATATTAATATCGCATGTGCTATATATAATTATATATAGCACATGCAATATATATATATATATATGTGTTTATATTTTTTAAATACAATTAATTTAATAATACACTACTTTTCCAATAATATTTGATTTAGTTTCAATCCAATGTATTTAT